ATTCCCAAAACACACCTCACCTTACAAATTGGAGTCATATTCTATCTCTGCCTTGGAACACCCTTCGCCTGCTTAAAAAGTTTCTATTTATCCATCAACATCCAATTTATATGCCATTACTATATAAAACTTTTCCTAATTATCCCAGGAAGAGATTCTGTACTACCACTGCACTGCATTATCAGTTAACACATCTGTCTCCCCCAACCTAGATTTTTAACTCATCATATTTTAACTCCAGTACCTGGAATGATGTTTGGCCTAGAGTAGGTAAAGTATTCAATAAATCCTTGCTGAATGAATACATATTCTCATATACAAGATACTATCATTGGTAACCAGGTTCCACAAACATTCATGTAACAACTAAATGGTTAAAATAAATAGCATTTTGGCACCTTGAAGGTAAAGGGGTGCTCCTTACTTATATATGTCAAGTTCATTAATAAATAGTTAGCTAATTAACTGAACAAGAGACACTTTTTTCAACAAAACTGTTTAAACAGCTTTTGTAACTCAATTTGAAAAATCTAAGAGACTTATAAATGTGTTCGTGTAGGAAAATGTGTTCTTGGATATCCACATTCTAATTCGGAAGTCAAACAGCCACTGCTACCATAGGCAAATTACCTGACCTCAATAACTATTATCAAGACATGTACATTTATAGGAAACAAAAAATAATCAAATTCCTAATCCTGCCATTTAGCATCTCCATGATTAAATTCCAATTTACCTTACATGGTACTCCTCCTCTTCACGTGTGCTATACTTCAGCCAAAATTAACTTTTCCCTTGTCTCCAGGGCCTACACTCCTTGACATTTGGCTTTTATTGTCTGCTCTACTGGAAAATCTCTCCACCCAGTTCCACAAACTCAAATCTAATTTATCTTTTGTAGATAATTCAAATGCCACCTCCTAATCCTTTCCCTCTTCTAGAGGTGATCTTCCCATCCTAGCGTACTTATGGCACTTTAGCTAGACCTTTTTGACACCACTTATAACTTTGTCTAGAGTACGTTATTATATACCTAACTTCTTTCTCCCTACTTGACAATAAGGACAGGTTCTATATCTAATTCAATATTTTTCAAAGTATGTACCTTGTAATTCACAAAATTGAGTTAACCAGCAGTAGAAAATAAAACAGTCTCATGGTCAAAAAAGCTTGGGAAATGTATTACTTAAAATCTTTAGCATACTGAGATATATTGTAAATCTCCAGTAAAACAGACTATTCGCATTTCCATAACTTATCTGGCCTCTGAACCATTCTGGGTTTTTTGCAGCACATCTCAAAGGGTTACTATTTCTATGGCATGCAGACAGGCAGCCTCATTAATCTTGACACCTTATCTTGAACTTAATAGGGATTCAACAAATATGTGCAGAATCAATGAATAATTAACCCTAGGTATAACACAGAACTCTCCCATAAAGGTAGCCTGCCCAGAGAAAAGGGAAGACTCTTGAAGAATGACAGGAATTGACAAACAAGAAGGGAGTAAGTGTCCTCAGTAGTGCAGAAAGAGGAGAGAGGAATATATACAAGAGAAAAAGAATTCACCCCCCGAGCCACTTTTTGTGTGTAGAAGATATAATTAACCTGAACCACATAAGAATCCCTGTTCAGAATGTCCATCCTGAAGTGATCATTTAAAAATACTTCAGATGAATCTTTTCAGAAAGATCTGTCAAAAAGGGTTGAATCGAAGGTATTCTGGGCAATTTCCAGGATATACACTACTACAATATCTGAATCATCTATTACTAAATCATTTCTATCAACTGAGGAAATATTCTGCAGTTTGATTTTGTTGTATGAAGTTGTTTATGATAAAAAAGGAAGATTAGGAACAATAATAACCTAAATTTTGTTTTCATTTAACTTCTCTTCTTCAGTTTGGAAAATGAAAGCACAATTCTATTTAACAGGGTATGAAAACCAGGATGCATAAAAACAAAATATCCTTGACTATATCCTGCTCTCTCTTTCCCACAGTTCTCTAGCTGTGACTAAAAAAAAGGGAAGCAGGAGAAAAAGACACTCCTTGACTTGTCCTACAGTCCAGATCCTATGGCAGTAGCTACAGGAAATGGCAGCAGTGGCAGCAGTGAATGAGGGTTTTTTTTTTTTTTTCCTGCTCCTCCCTTTAAAGCAAAGAGGTCAACTTTTCACTTGAGTATGAAAACTTAATCAAGAGCAGAATCCAAAGTAGGGCTAGACTCATTGCCAAAAGATAAATACACTTCCTAATCATTATAACTATTAACATTAATTGTAACTATTAACATCCTTTTAATTTCAATGAAGCAATAAGCTACATATGGTCAGGTAAAAAGTCACTTGATTGAAGGTTTATAAATATGTTTAAATTTTTTCTAAAAACCTCTGGCCACAGGACTACTCTGTCTCAATATTACCAGCTACCACGTAACTGGAGTCACTAAGTAAAGTCAAAGCTTAATTTGGTTTAACTACTTTACTAAATAACAAGACACTAGAAAGCAAAATATATATTTCTCCACCTCCTCCTCTTCCCTCTTGGGGGGTGGAGGAGGAGGGGGATCAAATGCATTTTCAAATAAGTTACTGGACTCATGTGGTCAAACATTTAAAAATATATATATACATAATATGGTCCAAAGCATAATTGGGAATGTCAAGCAAGAGTTGTTAATTCAAAAAATAATGTATTATGAACTGTATGATCCTATGAGAGCTCTTCAAAAAGATCATGGAAAAATTGGTAGTACCTTTTAATTTATTTTTCCATGTACTTTTTGAAGTACCCTCTTACAACAGTATTCTGTTAATAGCTGGCTTATTATGAAATCCATTAATTAAAGATCTCAAACAACTTCATAAATAGTTTTCTACCTTTAGAATATGTGAAAAGTAAAACAAGGAACTACAGAACTACTTAGTATCTTGCCCAGGGACACACAGTAAAAGTTCTTGGCAAGAAAAATGTCTCTGATCTGGTGTCAATAACAGGCCGAACAACTTTGGGTCTATAGAAGTTAATGTAATAATATATTTCCCAACATTTAAATCTGAGAAAATGTAACTAATATTTCTGAAGTCTTTCTTGTAATTATAATCCTCCACTCACAAATTACTATTTTATTACAGTTTATAACAATGACATATGTTATTTCTCTCAACAAAAGCATTATCTGTTCAAACTGATTGAACCCAAAATGTAGTAACAATAACAAATGCAAAATTCCATTTGTCATAAATTTTAAGTCGTAAAAACTGCAGCATCTTAGGTAGAGAAAGGATAAAATTTTCATTTATGGAGAAATTCTCTATTGTCAACTGCAGTGTATTCCATTATTACTCACACTTCTGTTACTCAATATGAAACACAAGCACACAAAAAAGGGTCTTTCCTTCCTTTTTCTTCATCTTTCTGCTTTCCTTTCTTTCACACAAGTAGATGGTCCATACGCTTCACTGTTTTGTGGACGAGTTAGAGTTTTCCTATTCTATTATCTCAAACTTCACAGCTTTTTACAGCGAACTTCACGAAATTAAACTGTAAGGTTTAGATACTGAAAACGCTCAAGGAAATACATTAGAATGCTCGCTCTCTATCAAGCGTTAAGGATTCTCTAGCTAGCAGTCAGGTAGTTTTATACTCCACTTAAATTCCTTAAGATCCGAACACATACGTTCCTTATAGTTTGTCTTTCTTCAGTCGGAAGGGCTAAGTAGGCCTTCATTGTCCTAAAAAATACTCCCAGCCTTCTCAAATGTAAGGGTAAAGTGGCAGACGCACGCCTGACACTTCTAACATTTACTAATGGAATAATTACTCAACAACGAGAAGCCCCCAGGAGTTCCAATCTCAGATGGCCCGCTTTGAATACTGTGGCGAGGATCCAAGCGACAAGTCAGGGCTCGCCCACCCTGGGGCTCCTCGCTCCTATTTTTTCGTCCTGAGTCAGCCCTTCCCACTACTCATCCGGAGTAGGCATCTTCCAACGCCCGAACCTCCGAGACTCCCCGCTAGCCCCCGCGGACAAAATCAATCCTCCTCCTGCGGGACACCCGGCTTCCCCTCCCTGCCGACTTCCATCCCAAAGCCGCCCCTCCTCCATTTCACGCTCCGCCCGCGCTGACACCGGAGCCACCACCCCACCCCTTCGCTTTCGCACCTTTCTTCCGAGGGCTTTTCCCGGGCAGCGGGAGAACGCCCGCTCTTCTGCCCGCCCCCCTCTCACCCTGCCAGCCCTCAGGCCTGCCACTCCCTGAAGAACCGCCGGGACCCACCTCGAAGAGCTCGGCCGTCGTGGCCATCCCGGCCGGCGGAGAGGCTCGCCCCGCACTGGATGTCGTCTCCTCTTCACATGCTGCGCCTCAGCGGCGCCGCGCACAGGTCCCCGCTTGGCTCGCCGGCTCCGGGCCGCCGCGGGCTACCCCCACTCCCCACAGAGCCCAGGCGGGGCGGGAGAGCGGCCATGAAGAGAAGCCGCAGACGCCTGTCAGCTGCCTCCCGGCGCCGCCCGCGCCGCTCCCATTGTCACCGCCTCGTACGCCGGAAGTGGAACTGCGCGCGCCCGAGAGGCTGTCGGGAGGGGTCGAAGAACGAAGCGAGCAGCGGGCGAACCGAAGAGAGGCCCGTAGCTCGAGCAAGTGAGGAACCTTGAGCCTTGCGGGCCACCATCCCGGAAGTGGGATTTAGAGAAAGAAAGTGGGGTTACTGGAGATAAGTTTTGAAGATTCTAGGTGTGAACTCTTAGAACCTTTTGTGGTATGTGTGGACTCTTAGAACCTTTTGTGGTATGTGTGGACTCTTAGAACCTTTTGTGGTATGTGTTGGCCAGGAGAGACTCAGATTTTGGTCACCTCACCTGAAGGAGCTAGCTTCGCTGCTGAGCCCCACACGTATATGGCGCAGGATGAGTCTCGGGGCTTCTGTTGAGTCCAGCTGAGATAGCCGGTCTGCGTTGTTCCTCGGTGGCGACCTGAGATTTTGGTCACCTCACCTGAAGGAGCTAGCTTCGCTGCTGAGCCCCACACGTATATGGCGCAGGATGAGCCTCGGGGCTTCTGTTGAGTCCAGCTGAGATAGCCGGTCTGCGTTGTTCCTCGGTGGCGACCTTAGTTATGAGATGAGCTGATGGTTTAGTGGCTTATCATGGCCCAGCGGGCATTGTGGCTCATGAGCCACGAACCGGGAACTCCACGTTGTGGGACCGTGAGATTCTCCAGGTAAATGCAAGTCTGAATCCCCAGGGAAGATGGATCGGAGGATTGGATGATGTAGCATAGTTTTGTGTTGCATTGTGTACCAGGTCCGCGACGAATAGCTGCGTGACCTTGGGCAAGTTACTTAACCTCTGTGCCATCTGTTAAATGGAGATTTTAATAATTCGACCTCGTAGTGTTGTGAGAATTAAATGAGTTGATGCCGAGCACAACCTGAGTATTATGTGTTTTCTAACATAGTATATATTATAGTATATACTTATATATTTCTTATATATAGTATATACTTATATATTCCTAATATGGTATAATTATAGTATAATTGTACCTTCAAATGAACTCTACCTGCTTAGGATTGATATGGAGATGACGAAGGGAAAGGAAGAAAACTTAGCGCTAAACGCATTTCAAATTTTTTGATTTGCATTGATAAAATCACTCAGGAACATTTTAACTCATTTTTCTGAAAAATCGTTGCTGAGCCGTATCAGACTGTTATTTTTATCTTATCAATATGTGTCATTGCTAGAAATCATCATATAGTTTACAGTTCCTAATTGTTAAAGAAAGTAGAAGGAAGTACAGAAAATTAAATTGTATCCACTTTTTCTTAGACGGTGTAAGTTGATCCCACTTTTAGAATTTGCCGTACTTTATCAAAATGGCTCCATGGTGAGAACTATAGATTAACTCATTGTAAAATGTGGTGGCAATCGAGTAATGTTTCACCTTTTATTCTCAGTGACCACTGACATCTTTTTTTGCCAACAATTCATTCTTCCCCGACGAAAGCTCTGTAGTATAGTAGAATTGAGGTTGAGGCAGATAAGGATCAGTGAAAAGTAGTTGGCATATGAAAAATTCCCTCTTTGCAACCTAAATAATTTTTGTTACTGAGGGCATCAGTATCCATTGCCATTTTCCTTCAAGATACCTGGCTTCCGTTTGTTGTTGTTGGACCTCAACTACAGGAAGTTAATATTCTCTAGTACATGGTTCATCAGCCTCATTGGTCTGTCCAAGGTACTCCCCCCCATTTTACTTATATGTTCCCTTTGGTTACCTGTTCTGTCATTCCTTTCCCTCTCCCAATAACTCTTATATCTTCAATGTTATCCTTTTATTGTACGCATTTGTGTATGCATTTTTCAAATTACATCATTAAGTGTGCTTTAGACTTTATTCGCTTTTCTTGGATTTGTCAGATTTCTCAGCACTATTTTTAAGAAACATCCATGTTGCTTTCTGTTCATCTAGAGCAGCACTATCCAATAGAGTTTTATACAGTGGAGACAAGAGGGAATGTTTTACATCTGTGCTGACTAATATTATAACCACTAGCCACATGTGGCTAGTGAGCTGTTGGCTTTTGTAACTGGGAACTCAATTGTTAATTTTATTTAAACTTAATTAAGTTTAATTTAGGTTTAAATAGCCACATGTGGCTAGTGTTTATCCTATTGGACAGTGCACATCTAGGCCATTGCTTTTATGTGCTCTGTAGTTCCTCCTCTATATTTTACTTATCTCTTTTCCCTAGTGATGATCTCCCAAGTTGCCTCCGACTCTCAGCCATCAGAAGGATGCTGAAGTAGATCTGCTCAAAAAGGTCTATGGGGCACATCTATGCTGATTTCGACTAAATTCTGCCAAATAATTCGCTCCTCAGAATTCTTTTACCCATCTTCACAACCCCCCAGCAGTGAGCATGGGTTCCTGTATCTCCATTCTTTCCTAACACTTATTCTAATTTTTGCCAATAAAGGATATCTTATTTTTATTCACATTTCTCTGTATAGCAATGATTGTTAGTCCTTTGGGCTTCCTCTTCTGTGAATTGCCTGTATATATTCTCTGTCTTTTTTTTCTTTGAAAGTTGCTAGTTTTTTCCTGTTGACTTGTAGGAGTTCATTGTGTATTCTTGATATTAGTGTTATGTCATTTTGAGATATTACAAATATTTAATTTATCATTGTCAACTAACTCTATATTGCCCTTGGTTAAATAGAAATCACTGATTTTGATGCATAGTAGTTAGTGCTTTTGGGAATTTTTGAAGTGTTTCCCTACCCTTATTTCCCAAAGATATCTTCCCACATTATCTTCTCTTAATTTATCTGTTATATTATGTGTTATATTTAGGTCTTTAATCCATCTGTAGTCCATCTTTGGATATGGTGTTAAGTAAGAATTCTATTTTGTTTTTCTCTATACTATAGGCCAATTTTCCTAATATCATCTCCCAAGCAATATATCTTTTCTTCATTGATCTGTGGAGATACTGGTAATGTTTATTATGTCCCCAATATAGACATTGGTCTGGCTCAGTTCTATTACTTTGTTGTTCTTGTGCCAATACCATACTGTTTTTAAATCTGTGGCTTTGTAGTTCATCTTAATAGAGATGAAATTTTTGCTGCTTGAAAAAAATAAGTTCTTTGAAGAAATCATGCTAGTTTTCAGAATGTTTTCCCACTGTGCTCAGAATAAACTTTCAGAAGAAAAATTCACATACATTTGGGTGGACTTTTCAACATCTCTACAGAGGCAGCAGTTTAGGTTCAAATAATTCCCTTTATTTCTGTATCATTGAATGAATTAGTTAAGTTTTATTAATTTCAGTTTTCATACCTCTTGGGACTAGTGTTAGGGCTAAACAGGTAAGTACTGACATATTTTTACATATGTGCAAATTCAAGAAGGTAAATGATCTTTCCTCTATCTAACTATGCATTTTCCACAACAAAACTTAGTTTAGATTCTGGTTTAAAGGTTTGCTGTCCAGGTAGTAATAGCGTTAACTTAAGTCTGGCTTATTGTACCCCATAGTTGTAGGGTCATTTAAGATTTGAGTCTTGATTTAGAAAAGCCTGGAATAAGTTTGAAATGACAGATTAAGTCATCCAACAAAACATTTATTGAGCACATATTGAGGCATTTTATAAAGTCCCAAATTAACTTACTTTATATTCAATCATGAAATTTTAACACTTAAGAACTTTAATTATCCTCTAAATAACTAGAGAATAAGACAGTGGACTAGAGTTTTAGTCCAAAGTTCTCTACTATTCTTATCCAAAAATGTACAGAAAGAAATGACATTTACCTGATAGGCTATTACTGGAGTGCTAGCCAATTCTTCTCCTTTCTTAATCAAGAAAATGCAACAGAATGTACATGAGTAAGGTTCACATATACATAAATAACTTTAACTACATTCTTATTTTTATTTTCATTTTCTTTCTTTCTTTCTTTCTTTCTTTCTTTCTTTCTTTCTTTCTTTCTTTTTTTTTTTTCTTTCTTTTTTTTCTTGTGTCTTGTTAAGTGAAACGTGGTATTTCTCTTTCTGTTCCTGACTTGTTTCACTTAATATAATTCTCTCAAGGTCCATCCATGTTGTTCCAAATGGCAGTATTTCATTCGTTTTTAGAGCTGAGTAGTATTCCATTGTGTAGATATACCACATTTTCCGTATCCACTCATCCGATGATGGACATTTGGGCTGGTTCCAACTCTTGGCTATGGTAAAGAGTGCTGCAATGAACATTGGGGAACAGGTATACCTTCGACTTAATGATTTCCATTCCTCTGGGTATATTCCCAGCAGTGGGACAGCTCGG